TGGTCAGGGATAGAAACCCACTTGCAAGCCCTAGTGGTCAGGAGTCAGGTGCTCTGTGTGCTTTCCAATGTATGTTCTATGTGCCTTTGTAAAACATAGGTTTTAAACATTTATTTTAAATAGGTAATACATTTACACAGTTAAAGTGTACAAAAGAATGTTTAATGAAAAGTCTCCATCACCCTAAAGCAACTGATATTATCAGTTCTTGTATCATTCCAGTATATTGAATACATACACAAGTAGACACATTCGTTTTCTCCTTTTTCCCTAATAAAAGGCAATATGCTCTACCTATTATTTTCTATACCATGTTCTCTTCATATCATACTTGGAACCTCATTTTACATCATCTAAAAGAGCTTTTACATTCTTTCTTATATAGTGTTCCATTGTACAGATACATCATATCTCTTTTACCCGGTCCATTATTTCTAATCTTTCACTATTCTAAACTAGCACTGTCCGATACAAACATAATGCAAACCACATATGTAATTTTAAATTCTCTATTAGGTTGAAGTTAAAAGAAACAGGTAAAATTAATTTTAATACTATTTAGTTGACCCAAGGTATCCAAATATTGCAACATGTAATTTTTTTAAATCATATTTGTTTTTTGTTTTTTTTAGATTAAGTCATCAAAATCCAATGCATATTTTATAGTTAAAACACATCACTTTGAACTAGCTATATTTAAAGTGCTCAGTAGCCATGTGTAGTAGCTACCATGTTGGCCAAGTAGAGTTCTAAACAGTATTGCAATAAATGATCTTATAAATTCATAGTTTTGCACATGTGCAGGTGTATCTTTAGGGCATACCTAGAAAGGGAATTGCTGGGTGTGTAATTCAGTTAAAAGTTAACGAGTATGTTTTTTCACTTGGGGGATGAGTTATTTGTGGGTACATACTATACATGGTGGCAGCATGCTAAGTGAACATAGGTGTGTCATCAGATCAGTTGAGTACAGGCAGACAAGAGTGGTGACATGGCGTAAAAGTCACCTTTCTCATCAGAGGTCCTGAGCGCCAAATGAGAACTGGAATTTATCTTCTTCTTCTCACAGGCCAAGGCAGCAATAGCTGCGGGAGACTATCATGCTGACACAGAGATGAAGGATGAGCAGAAGAAGGATGTGGCAGGGAGCCAGTCTCAGGTGGAGACAGAAGCATAGCCTCTCCCCATCCCTACTCCTACGGTTGCCTGACTACCCTGCTCCCTACTCTACTCTACCCTGTTCGTTTTGTAAAAACTGAAGAATTTTGAGTGAATTAGACCTTTATTTTTCTATCTGGTTGGATGGTGGCTTTGAGGGGAAGGGAAAAGGAGTAGGCTGGGGGATTAAGGTGGGGGATCATTTTAGGTGTTGTGGCCCCGCCTCTTCCCTTCCCTCTTCCCCCATTACACGTGAATGAATGTCCATCCACATGCATACATCAGAATGTTAATTTATTTTGCTTCCTCTGTTTGCTATGTCCATTTTTCAAATGGTAGAAGGGGGTGAGTGGTAGAGATGTAGGGTCAGATGTGAAACCAGGGTAGAGAGGGAGACATCCTGGGCAGCCAAATCTCATTCTTTCCTCCTCCCTATCCATTTCCAAACATGTGGCCTCGAGGTGGGTGCTAGAGGCATAGGAAAAACCACTGTCGTGCTCATCACTTCTCAGTTCTCTTCCTCACCCCAGATGGTATGGTTAATGATGTCTTCTGGAGTCATGGTTACCACTCCCTGTGCTCCCTTCCAGTATTCCCCTTCCGATCAGTTTCCCTTCTCAGCCAGGTTGTCCTCACCCCCACCCCCAGCCTCTTCTCTGCACGTTGCTAAAGGTCCAGGCTCACCTCAAGTTCTGCACTTGAGCAATAAAGTGGAACAAATAAAACCTGGGTGTCTGGCAACCCTTTTTGTTTTGGCCTCAGGGGCTAGGGAAGGGTGGCTACCCTATGGGGGCAAAATTAAGGGATTCACCCACTTCATCCCCAGTTCTTAAATGCAGCACCTGATAGTAATAGAGAAGCTATAGTTGAGCGGGGAGCAGCAGTGCCATGCAAGCCTTCTGGCACTGTACTGGCTGCTGCCAGGACCTATGCTGAGGCCTGTCCAGAGGCTCCCAGCACTTCCCCCAGAAGCCTGGCAGTTTTTAATAACTGGTTTTCTTCCCAAACACTTGGAAAGAGGAAGATATAAACAACTAAAATATTGGGACCAATTGTGTTTGTTTTGAAGTTAGATTTATTTATTTCTACCTAATTGATCCCATAGAAGCACAAGCTCCCTTTGTACCTTAACAAGGTAAAATCTGATGTAATACCTCCTGTCAAGACACCTTTACACAATGTAGAGAGAAGGGAAGAACAGTCCTCAAGCTAGGGAACGTAGGCAGTTAGGCCTGCTTTCCAGTTTCCTTAGCCCTGACTGGAAAAAAACTTACACTTTTTTTCTAACTATGCTCTGACCCTTGACATATGACAGGGGGCCCTGGGAAAAGCCACAGGGCATAAGACGGTCATGTTGAGCCTTCTCCGGGTTTTGGCTGCAGGCCAGAGCCTATAACTATGCCCTTATCATTCTCTTCTGTGTAGGCTGTGTAGTCTTTCCTACACAGGGACAGAACTAGTCTGCCTACCCATGTGCCTGTACAGTTCCTTCTAGAAGAATTTTCTCCATACTTTTACTATGGAAGATTAACTTTTGTGTGAAAAATTTGGCTAAGTCATACAGCATGGCTAGTGCTAGAACCAGACCTTAAATTTGGGCATTCTAGTCTCCCAATGTCAACGGCTTGCTCTCTTGCTGGGTTCACATTATAGTTCTGTGCTTGGGGATTGTGTCTGAGTCTTTCTGGTATTTCAAGATTAGACTTGCCCTTGCAGGCCAATGATAATGGCTAACCCTCAGAAAGCACTTAATGATGTAAACCTAGCACTAAACCAAGAGCCTCATGCTTATTAATCTTAAGCCTTGTAACCATCCTACAAAGGAGGTATCACCCCACTTACAGATGAGGAAACCAAGGCCCGGAAGTTAATGGAAAGGTCTGCCTGGAATGTGAGATCTCTTGAACGAATCCAAACTCCTCTGCCATGGGGTTCATGTGACCTTGGGTAAACTAAACCTCTTTTAAGGAGTTTCCTTTCAGCTCTGAATGCTTCTTTAGGAATCTGAGAATTTAAAACATAACTGTACTTCTGTAGAACTCTGTAGCTGAACAATCCTTAGTTAATGTGACGTTACAATTGTCTTGTGAGGATGTTTTATTAAAGTGGCCAGAAATCTTTAAGGTTAAAAATAAATCCACCACGTACTCCACTGTGCTCTGGGTCAGTGCTCAAATTTATTTCCCAGTCAGTTGCACCTTCTTCACCACTTAAATATGGAAAGAATGTACTTGAATAAGGAAAACTAGTAGCAATCAGTACTTTCAGCTGTTAATTTGCAAGTGGTCTCTGGAAAATTTTATTTAAGGTTTACCTTGTCATAATGCTGGTCCAAACATCAAGTTCTACAGAGTTCATCTAAATACAGTATTTCCAATCTCTCCATTCCAGCAGTCCCTCCCCAACATCCCCATGCACCTCCAGCCTGCTCTCCTGGTCTCCTGTCTTGCATTCCCTCTTGCTCCACCTGCACTTAATTCTGCACTGCATCCAAATCATATCCCTCCAACTGCTTAAAACCGTATCAATGACTTCTTATCCTATTTACACTGAAGATCAGAACCTTTATCATGGCCCACAAAACCCTCCATAGCCTGGCCTAGCTTGCCTTACCAGCATCACTACACTTGACTCTCCTTCACTCTGTATCAGGCGTACCACCCTTAAAATATAAAGAGTGAATTATGTATCTCATTTCAATTGGAAAAATTATATGTAAAAGACATTTTATGGAGGGCTAGTAAAAAGCAGTACCTTTTTAGAAAACTTGATAGAATGAAACTGGAAACTTATCTTATTCTTTTCTTCTGTCTCAATGACCAGTCTTCCCTTTCCAAATGCAGAACACCTCAGAGACTTCTAACCCTTATGTTGAAATGACAATGGACTAAGGGCAGAGCTGAATAAAGCCAATGTAAGAGAAGACATTCTAAGACATTCTAAAGACTGCCCTCTTTCTGGAAATCATTATTGACTTTATGGCTGTAGTTCCCCAGCTGCTTGCCAACCTCAGATAACTTAGATGCACCAACTATCATTTAAGAACGCAATAAAACCTTATTATCACGTAATGAACAACACTATACCAATTTAGGAAGCAAAGTAAGAATGAAAGACTCACAAAGTAGATCTGAGGAGGAATGATCGAGAAAAAGCAATGCCTTCATGAACTCTGAGTTCTTTGGCTACAAGAGACCAGCCACACTCTATTCTCCATCCCCAAGACCTGTATGTTTAGAATTGCCAGTCTCTTGTTCCACTGTTAAAAGCACTTCACGCATAAAATGATTGTGTTTTTTGAGGTGAATTTTACATAACCATTTAAAATGAACAATTCAGTGGCATTTAGTCCAATTAGAATATTGTGCACCCAATACCTCTAGTTCTAAAGCATCTTCATCCTTTGTGTTTTAAGCCCATTTCCTCATTCTTCAGTGACAATGAAGAACTACTCATCCTTCAGTTAATGTCCAATAGAACTCTGAATGACAACAACCCTGACAGGTTCCAAGACCAAAGCTTTCCAGAATTTGTCCTTTCTGATCAGGCCAAACTTGTGATAGGTGAGACTCAAAGCTTTTCAGCTTAACAGCATTTCACTCAGCAGGGCTGCCCCCAGCTTTGCCTAATTTCTAGGTCAAATTTGAGAAACAGGTTTCTGTACTTCATGAGTTCTCAGAATCTTTAGTATGCTAAGCTATACTGTGACCTGGCGTGGGAAGGGGAATGAAGAAGTCTCTCAAACTGAGTCCATTAGAAAGCCCTAGGCCCTGTCCTAGGATGGTAAGTGGCCCTGGGCCTTACATGTAGAAAGAGCTTTAAAGGTCCTGTTTCTTACCTGGGCATCCTAGGCAGACAGAATTTGATAGCATCCCTCTGACTACTCTTGGAAGAAGAAATGAACAAAGGATCTCCATAGAAATGTTTCCCAGTTAATGTCTCCCCACCCCCTCCCATAGCAGGTTTCTACTGAAGCTATCATTTAGCTGGTTTGTAAAAATTATGTCATCTGCACAACTGTATCCACATCATCTAGATAGATGGCCTAGTTAGAAAGTTCTGGGGAGTAAACCAAAACCCATGCTGTAAAAGTGCTTGGCTGAAACAAGACTGCCTCTAGATGGTACCTGCGGAGACTCACCAACCATCCCACCAGAAAGCGCCAAGAACAGAGGTGCTTCTTTGAAAGCAAGTCATCTGTCCACATGGCTCTGCAATGCCTAGTCCAATATTTCACTTACTATGAATTTAACACTCGCGGCAGTTAAAGTAATTGAAGCAAGATGGGGAGAGACATAGAAATGGAGAGACTTGATTCATACCATATTTCTTGGGAGACCCATCTTTCCTCTAACTTTATTTGGCTCTCTTGACAAAAGCCAAAAGGTATGGTATCTGGGAACATTTGAGACGTCGCTCCCCAGCATATATCATCAGTTTGGCTCAAAAAAAAAAAAAAAAAAACCCATAAAAATTGCCAAAAAAAAGGAGGGAGGGCATGTTATCCAAGTTGTGATCATAACGACAAGACCTTCATGGCAAAAACAAACAAAACAGGCATCCCCTGGCACAGAAAGGTCAAGAACAAGAAGCCAAGTAATGAAAAAGATAAAACTAAATCATTGTGGAGAGGTGGGTCAGAGTATTTCAGAGAACTAGATCAGGTCGGGGTACTTGGTGACATAAGCTGGGTGATCTTCATCTATTTTGTCCTGGGTTATTTTACAATTTCATTCAAAGGGATAGAAAAAGAAAACAATGTATAAATATTAGTGAAAAGAAACATAATTCGAACTATTTAACTGTACATTTAGTGGTAAATATTTGAAAATTGGCTTTCTTCCATCCCTTAAAACCATATGGAGCTTAGGGTTTGAGCTAGGATGAGAGAATAGAGATGTGGTAGGGCAGGATGAAGTAGCATGCAACCCTTCTGTAACTGAGATCATGTATTTAAAGCACCAGATACACCTGTGTAAACCAGAGCCTTTGACAACCTGGCCAAGCCCACAGTACACCACCAGAAACAGACACTTTTGTGTATCTGCAATTTCAGTATTTGTCCAAACCGCTTCCTGTTTGCTGTTCAGACCTGCTGCTCCTTGTTCTCATTTGACCATCAGATCCATTGGGACCTCTAGGACAAAATATGCCATCCCCCTCCCTCACCCCCAGACACAAAGGTCCTACCCTCCAGCCCCTTCTTTCTTTAGATTCAGACATAGAAAGCAGGACCAGCCCCGGTCCAACATCCACAAGTGAGCTAGATATCCTCGGTTTCAGTGTTGACTCCTGAAAGATCAATGTGTAAACCAGTGTGGGCCAGCAGGCCTAAACCATAAAATGTATTGAGCACCTGCAGAAATTCATGAATATTTTTAGAGCCCTTATTGATGAGGCACCCCAAAGAAAGACTGGACTTGATTCAACATGAAGTTACCCTAGGAGGCCAGCCATGATGGTAATATCCCATTTATAATACAGAGAGGTCACTGAGGAAGGCCAGGGCTTTGCGGTGGGGAACCACAGGGCAGAACAGATACAGAATCTCAGCAATCCTGACTTCTAGCCTGAGGACTTTCCGAGGAACTATGACATAAATGAAAGAAAGGATCTGGGGCTTTGGGTCAAACAATCCTAGTATGAGTCCCACCCCTACCATTTTCTGCCTTGTTACTTAATCTTACTGAACCTGTTTCCCTCATCCAAAAAGCTGTAATGATACAAGCTCACAGGGTTGTTGTGCTAATTACATGAAATTATATGTGGTTAAATTTTTTTTTTTACATAAGCCAGTATATACACATATAAATATATAAAACTGAAACAAAGGTTTCACAAGAAAATATTTGTCTTTCTACTCAAGTCACTATATTTTTCTATTCTATTTCGTGTTTTTAAATGCTGGTTCCATTCGCTATATTGTTTTCGCAACTCCTAGCTTTAAAAAAAAAAAAAAAAACACTGCTGGAAACCATACAATTGTCAGTTATTACGATTATGATTCTCAGGAATGATCTGATGGCTGAGACTCTTCAATGCCAAGGGCAACAAAGGAAGAGGTCAAGGTTATTAGGTAAAACATTAGATAGTCCTATTGCCAAGCGAACAGATCAACCCCGTCAGGGTTGCCCTATCCATGCGCTCTAAGGAGAAAAGGAGTGGCCCATGTCCCTGTCACTCACATCAGTAGGTGGGCAGGCCCGCCCCCACGCCCAGAAGGCTCGGGAAAGCCACCTCTTCTCTAAGGTTAAGCGAAGAAGGTCGGGATTGGAGGCTCAGACGGTGACGTAACTTTCCGGTTTGGGTGGCCTTCCGCTCCGGCCGCTGTCGGGCGGGGCTTGGGGAACATTTAGTGGCGCTCGCCCACCCCTCAGCCCTTGGAAGTACGATGAGGTCTGTCAGCTACGTGCAACGTGTGGCCCTGGAATTCAGTGGAAGCCTCTTCCCGCACGCAATCTGCCTCGGAGACGTCGACAACGATATGGTCAGTGCATGCGCACTACGAAAGACGCAGTCCGGGTCTGCGCAGGGCCGGGGCGGGGCCACGGAAGGGCAGGAGGCCTATGGCGCGCAGCATGAGTGGCGCATGTGCGTTAGGCCTGGCGTGGCTGACTTAGGGAACGAGTTAACACACAGCTTAAGTGCCCGGGCGTCCTTTTGGAGTTAGCCTAGTGCACTGGTCTGGTATTCTTTAAGGGAAGTGGATAACTGATCTTCTGCCAAAGTCAATAACGTGTTTACTAGGAGCCTAGTAAACTCTGGTGGCCAAATTTCCTGGTTTACTGTTAGTGTCGTCCAGGGGTATTCACCGCTCAAACGACTTTATCTTTCACAGCCTCAAAATAGGCTTAAAAAGCACCTCTGCTCCTCTTACACTTGACCCTTTGCGCTGGAATACGTTGCTCTACTTCTCTGCCTTGCCTCCCAACTCGTAGACGAAGTTCCTCTGGCTGCAGGCAACAGATGTCCCCATCACCCCAATCTTAATGTCTTTCTATAGCAGGGGTCCCCAACCCCGAGGCACAAACTGGTACCCTCTGTGTCCTGTTAGGAACTGGGGGGCACAGGAGGTGAACCGCTGGTGAAGGAGCAAAACTTCATCTGTATTTCCAGCCGCTCCCCAGCCTAGCATCACCTCTCAGCTCTACCTCAGATCATCAGGCCTTAGATTCTCATAGGAGCCTGGGTCCCTGGTGCCAAAGAGGTTGGGGACTGCTGTTCTATAGTATCTGCTACATAGTGTGCTCAGGTATCTGGAAACTTTAAAGCACCACACCTTGGTGGATTTACAAAAACAATTTCTATCTACCTTTTCTTCCCTCAGCAGTCATTCTTTTTCTTGTTTAAATGAATTAATACAGGTAGAGCAAGTCGTAGCATGCCTGGCACACAACACCTCAGTGTTAGCGCCATTGTTGTTAGTATTTGATTCTGTTTTCCTGCAAATATTTATTGAACTGCCCATTTTGCACCAAGGACTCTGCTACATGCTAGGAATTAAAAAATGAACAAGACAGGCCCACCTCTCAGGTGGCTCATGATCAGGTGGGATGATAGTCATGAGAATAACAAAATGCGATGAGATGCACTGATTAAAATATATAAAGGGTTCCAAGGTGGAGCATCAAAGGGGTTGGGGGCCGTTGATGGTGTGAAATACTCTTCTTTCCAGACTTTGTCTTTTCATTTATCATCTCTATTTCATATTTTTAATGCAAAGTACCTTATTGCCCTCCTCTCCTATCCTCTGTCCCATCTCCCTACTCTGCCTCACTACTGTTCTGTACTCTTTTCAAAATATATAAAGGGTTCCAAGGTGGAGCATCAAAGGGGTTGGGGGCCGTTGATGGTGTGAAATACTCTTCTTTCCAGACTTTGTCTTTTCATTTATCATCTCTATTTCATATTTTTAATGCAAAGTACCTTATTGCCCTCCTCTCCTATCCTCTGTCCCATCTCCCTACTCTGCCTCACTACTGTTCTGTACTCTTTTCCCTGAAAAAAAAAAAAAAAAAACAAGGGCTAAAACATCCTCCCCTCTCCTCCAGGCTCCTTCGTGCCATGACGGAGAAGGTGTTTTATGAGGCCTTTTTTGGCTTGACCCACTCTAGGGAAGAAAAAGTTATTCTCATAAATTTCTATTATGTTTCTGGGCTTTCACATTTCTTCATATGCCAAGCAGTATAATTTTTATGAGAAAATCAAGGGAGGCATTTTTAACTAGTAAATTAAGAAAGCAACTTTAGATGTGTATTATTTTCCATTTTATCTGATTCACTTCTGGGTTTAAAAGGGGAAAATATGTGCCCTTTTTTCATAACTTTATAGCACCAGCTTTCTTAGAAATTGTACTTTGCTGAGTAAATCACACTACTGTACACTCAGTTCTGCAATATTAGGTATATTTTACTTTTTTTTTTTTCCCCGAGTCATAAGCTCCATTAAGATAGGAGTTTTTTTGTCTTTTTTTCACTGCTATCTTCCCAATGCTAAGAATTGTGCCTGGCACATAGCAGGCATTCAATAAATGTTTGTTGAATAAATGAGGATTGTTATGAAAAGCAAATGTGATCATGTGTCTCAAAGCAATTTGAAGGGCTTTGCCTTTTATTAGTGGAATATAAATATAAGTGAAATATAATGGAAAGAAAGGCAAGTAGCTGAGATAGGTGACTAGTGATCAGGTGTAGTATACTCAGGCTACATAAGTGCGAATAAAAATTTTGTTATTGGTTCCCTAGGCCATCATTTGGAGATTTGGGACAGGAAAAAGACTTAATTCATTCTAACAATTAGCCTAAAGTTCTTTGAAATTAATTTATTTTCTGCTAAGTCAGAGGGAGAAGCCAGGAATAGAATATACCTCCTCTAGGACTGTTCACCAAAGCCTCTTTCCTATATGTCTGCAGAAGGCCTCCAGGGGCAGCTGTAATTGAAACATGAGGTGTAGAGGGTTTTGTGTAAACAAGCTTATTTTATGCTTCTATGATCTGATATTCTCACAAGAAACTCCCATAACCATTAAAAATAATCCAAGATTCAAATCAAGTAAATCATTATTAATAAATTCCAATTCATTGCTAACTTTTCCTTACTGTTGGTTTGTTGTCTTCGTTGCCTTTAGAATTAAATCTCCTGAGAATCTAATATTCATTCTATTTAGAGGATAGGAAGGAGGTGTTATATGTCCTCCTAAAGGGAAATCATAAAGCTGTTTGTGGAAATCGGATTTGAGCTACCTTATTATCATCAGCCCCTGGAAAGGGTGGCTAGCCTTTGCGGAACCCTGGGGAAATGGAGTACCCAGATAGTGGAGAAAAGGCTTCATGCAGGGAGCGTCCCCTCCTGAGATCTTAGCCACCACTTGAGGGCACCAGAGGCCCAAAGCGTGGATGCTTTCGCCCAGCAACCCCTTTTTGCTGCCTCTTCCAGCACCTCCATCCCTTATGTTCACTCATTCACACCAAAATCAAAAGGTCTTGCTAAAGGAGGGAGGGCGCCTAGAGCTGACGTTTTCTTTTTTATTTGGCCCCAAATTAAATACGAGATTTGAAGTTAAATTCTCCAAAAGTTGAATATTTGTATTGTTTTCAAAACATGTCCCATTCGTAATGGACAAATTAGAGCCAAAGTCAGCCATATGGGGCATGGAGCTGTTCAGATATCAGACTTTTAGGATAGATCATAGATTCTGTACTGCCCCATTCCTCTGACCTCCTCTGCCCCTAAAACACACACTCATACCTCGACAGAAATGAAGAAACTTGGGAAACTATGGCTGTGTTGGTCGCAAAAGATTTTTAATAATGTGATGAAGATACAAGTTGTCTTGTAATTTCCCCAGGATGGGCCCAGTAGAGAAGAGTTTGAGATGGTTCAGAAGGATCCCATGCTAACA